TTTTTACCTATACCATGAGCTTACATAATTGATGACAACAACATTGTGCTTTCCCTGTAATAACTTCTTAGTCTTCCTGTAGCACTGCTTATGTTTGGTTTCAGCTCTATCTACTTAAACCCCCAGATGTCTTGGCATTTGGCTGCTCGCAATGAAATGGGTTCTGCAGAAGTTTTCTTCCATTTTAAAGGGATGATTTCTTCAATAAATTTAATTACATGCATTAGTGATTTTTGTAAATGTGAAGACAATCCAAGTCAAACAAGTCAAACTATTCTCAATCTTACAGGTTTGTACGGAGGTTTGAGCCAACAGCTGCAACTTATCACCTAGCCTCAAGACATCACTTTGTGGCATTCCACAAACTAGGAACTGACAAATAATGGCATTTCTATGACGGCATGGTAGGACAACCTGGGAGTGGAGATGTTGGAGTTACAGCGATGACCATTAAAAAAACACTGAAAAGTAAAGCCAGTGTTGGACACATTGTGTTGATCAGGGTAAGTATTCATAGTTAATAAGAAGACCATCAAGTCAATTCAGCAAAGTTGTATTCATAAATGTAACATACAGTAAATGACAGATCCTTTGGAATGCACTTTGTGTATGAATTCACTTTTATGTTTAAATTTCAGTTCTATTTTATGGAAAAATAAATGAAATTAATATTTGTATTTAGGACAAAGCAGCTGAAGCAGTTAAGTAAGGAATGACACACTTTAAGGTGGGTAAGTGTTTTTGCATGTGCATCATATGACAAATCAACATTCATTTATGCAGATATCTTAAGTTCCATTGCAATTTCATACATGTCGTCTTCTTTTATTTAAGTTTTTCTTCCTGGTCATTGACTAAAAAAAGACTGCTAGTAGTATATAAAACATTCAAAAAAATCCTTTGTGTAGATTATGTCCAGAGGTCTCACAGATACGTAGGAAAAAATGAGGAGAAGCAGCGCATGAAATAAGGATATATGTTAGAAAAGTGCAAAGTAAAATGGAAGGTTTGTGATCAATCTTTATTATGAATAAAATAAATATTTGGATATTTTAAAATAACATTATTTTTTTATGTAACACAGGCAACTATAAATGCATTGGTCAACAAAAAAGCGCTGACCAGAGCAGAGGCTGTGGACCTAACTGAGCATGGCCAGATGGAGGAGAGGTAAGCAAATTAGTGTCTGAAGCTGTAGGAGCATCTTTACTATTCATTACATTTAGACAAATAAATTTCTATTTAATCATAATGTAATGTCTTTTTTGCAGTGAGAGAGAAGATCTGGTTATGCAAGTGACAAGAGAACTACAGAAACGTTCAAATGTTTAAAGTAAAACAAGAGTTTTGAAACCAAATTGTGAAATGTTTGAAGTTTTGCATTTTTCCATTTTCTTAAATAATACTTGTTTAACAGTGGAGACAAAAACACACAACAAACTTTCTTATTTATGCTTTTCTTTTAATTTTTCTTAAGAAAAACATTATTACTGTAGAATAAATATTATATAATCAAAAGAGGTGACATGCCAGTTTGTGAAGATAGTCTATTGTGGTTTGAGAACTATGCAAGCTTGTGAGGGGAAGGTTGTCAATGTAAACAATTTGCAACGGCTAGTTGTCCAACTACTGCATGAAAATAT